GATGTGGAGGTAATAAAGAGAGATGAACTGGTTCCAGGAAAATTGCGCCATGGCACAACACGTCGGCGCTGTTTGTCTTAACAGATTTGAATTCAGAAACTATGAAATGCTCGTTAGATTTGTCAGGTAAGCTCAACAGTCATTCAATTTGTCCTTATTATCATAAACAGTTGGTCTAATATCTATTTTGGAGAAGAAAACACCAGGCTCGACCGGGATTCGAACCCGGGACTTTCGCAAACCATCCAGCTGTTCTAACCAACTGAGCTACCGAGCCTGGGTCAATCTTGCTTGTCCACTATAGGTACCTGTCAAGAAATGATCCAGGCTCATCTTGACATGAGCTCTCGTTGATGTGGAGGTAATAAAGAGAGATGAACTGGTTCCAGGAAAATTGCGCCATGGCACAACACGTCGGCGCTGTTTGTCTTAACAGATTTGAATTCAGAAACTATGAAATGCTCGTTAGATTTGTCAGGTAAGTTCAACAGTCATTCATATTGTCTTTATTATTGTAAACAGTTGGTCTAATGTCTATTTTGGAGAAGAAAACACCAGGCTTGACCGGGATTCGAACCCAGGACTTTCGCAAACCATGCAACTGCTCTAACCAACTGAGCTACCGAGCCCGGGTCAACCTTGCTTGTCCTTTACCTGTACCTGTCAAGAAATGATCCAGGCTCATCTTGACATGAGCTCTCGTAGAAGTGGAGGTAATAAAGAGGGGTGAATTGGTTCCAGGTAAATTGTGCCATGGCACACCACGTCGGCGCTGTTTATCTTAACAGTTTTGATTTCAGAAACTATGAAATGCTCGTTAGATTTGTCAGGTAAGTTCAACAGTCATTCATATTGTCTTTATTATTGTAAACAGTTGGTCTAATGTCTATTTTGGAGAAGAAAACACCAGGCTTGACCGGGATTCGAACCCAGGACTTTCGCAAACCATGCAACTGCTCTAACCAACTGAGCTACCGAGCCCGGGTCAACCTTGCTTGTCCTTTACCTGTACCTGTCAAGAAATGATCCAGGCTCATCTTGACATGAGCTCTCGTAGAAGTGGAGGTAATAAAGAGGGGTGAATTGGTTCCAGGTAAATTGTGCCATGGCACACCACGTCGGCGCTGTTTATCTTAACAGTTTTGATTTCAGAAACTATGAAATGCTCGTTAGATTTGTCAGGTAAGTTCAACAGTCATTCATATTGTCTTTATTATTGTAAACAGTTGGTCTAATGTCTATTTTGGAGAAGAAAACACCAGGCTTGACCGGGATTCGAACCCAGGACTTTCGCAAACCATGCAACTGCTCTAACCAACTGAGCTACCGAGCCCGGGTCAACCTTGCTTGTCCTTTACCTGTACCTGTCAAGAAATGATCCAGGCTCATCTTGACATGAGCTCTCGTAGAAGTGGAGGTAATAAAGAGGGGTGAATTGGTTCCAGGTAAATTGTGCCATGGCACACCACGTCGGCGCTGTTTATCTTAACAGTTTTGATTTCAGAAACTATGAAATGCTCGTTAGATTTGTCAGGTAAGTTCAACAGTCATTCATATTGTCTTTATTATTGTAAACAGATGGTCTAATGTCTATTTTGGAGAAGAAAACACCAGGCTCGATCGGGATTCGAACCCGGGACTTTCGCAAACCATCCGACTGTTCTAACCAACTGAGCTACCGAGCCTGGGTCCATCTTGCTTGTCCACTACAGGAACCTGTCAAGAAATGATCCAGTTTCATCTCAACATGAGCTCTTGTAGATGTGGAGGTAATAAAGAGAGATGAACTGGTACCAGGTGCTGTTTGTCTTAACAGATTTGAATTCAGGAACTATGAAATGCTTGTTAGATTTGTCAGGTAAGCTCAATAGTTTTCAAATTGGCCTTAATCCCCTTTAAAATACCTTAAAATTGTCATAATACTCCTTTCTAATGTAAACGGTTTGTCTTATGTCTCTTTGGAGGTTTGCCCGGGATTCTAACCCGGGACAGCTGTCAAGAAAATGCCCTTTACATTTCCTTAAAATTGTCATAATAGTCCTTTCTATCTTAAACGGTTGGTCTAATGTCTCTTTGGGGAGACAGGCTCGACTGGGATTGGAACCCGCTGTTTACCTTAACAGGTTTGAGTTTGGAAAAAAGACTGGACTGGACTGGACTGGGCTTTGTAATGCCATTTTTCTCCCAGCCTAGTGATTGGTCCAGCTCAACTACCACAATCGGAAAGTCGATGCTTTCGAAATTGGCTATAGTACTATAAACATACTGGAATTGATCCGAACTAGTACAATCGGTGTGTCGCGATTGGTCTAGCTCAACTACCACAATCCGAAAGTTGATGCTGTCTAAATCGGCATTACTGCCTTTGAAAGTACTTTGAACACACTGGAATCAGTGGACTAGCGCAATCGATGTGTCCCGATTGTTCTAGCTCAACTACCACAATCGGAAAGTCGAAGATGTTAAAATTGGCTCTAGCCCCTGTAGCCGCTGGCGGGTATTGGCCCTGGCTGGGTAGCTCAGTGTGCAAAAGTCCCGGGTTAGAATCTCAGGGTGACCCTGAAGTTTTATCCGAGCCTCGCGATTGTTCCAGTTCAACTACCACAATCAAAAAGTTGATGCTGTTGAAATCGGCTCTAGTACTTTAAACATACTGGAATTAGTCCAAACTACTACAATCGGTGTGTCACAATTTGTCTAGCTCAACCACCACAATTGGAAAGTCGAAGATGTTAAAATTGGCTCTACCCAGCAGGCATAGTCGCGTTGGATCAACGTTGAAAACAGGTTGATACTTTAAATTGCTTTTGATCTACCTAAATTCAATGTAAAATCAACGTTGATCCAGCCATGTCAAAACACCGTCATAATGTGACATTGACTCAACGTTGTATTTTGGTAATTGACCCAACCTTGAAGTTATGGATTGTAATTTAAAATATTAATTATTGAAAACGTGATACTTTGTTTATCAATACTGTAACTAAATTTATCAAAATAATAACAAAAGGGTTTTAAAGTAAAAGTGACAGTTGTTTTGTGTCTTTAGTGAACTAGTGAATTTTCTTAACTTGTTATTCAGAAATACATTCCAATAAACTGAATTCCTTGCAAGGTCAGCATCAGGATGAATAAGTTGCTGTAAATGTGATGGAGTTACGTTAGTAAAGTTACCAGTTCTTGGTAACCTGTTATAGATAGACAGGTTGAGGTGACTGTTACTTTGATATATATATATATATATATATATATATATATATATATATATATTGATCACTGTGATGTGTCTATGTTGTAACTGCTGTATATGTCTCCACATATTCTTAATTAATGATGTGTTCTCTGATTTCAGCAGAGATGAAGGTGTATCTGCTTGATTATCATCATACTTAGGACGTCTAAACTCTTCATCACATCAGGACCACAAAATCGCAGCCTCAGCACAGGTCAGTGCAAAAATGATATTGCTATACTTTGTTGTTCTCTTCAATCCCCTTTTGATCCTTACCACTTTATATAGTTCCTGGGAAATTATCTTTTTAAAAGGGTCACTTGAGGACAGTCCTGCAGATATTTGGATTGATCTATCTCCCTGGGGAGTCTTACTAAATTGCTGTCAACTTAACCGTCTTAAATGTCTGTCATGCTTAGTAAAGCTGTAAGGGGGTAATTATCTTTACCCCCTAGTTGGTTTGATATAACTGGCTGACAGTTAAGTCGATAAAGTTGATAGCAATTTAGTGAGACTCCTTAGGGAGTTAGACCAATCCAGATGGATTGATCAAGGTATGGGAACTTAGGGTGCTTTCCCAGAGATTTAGATCGATCTAAGGATTAAGATTTAGATCGACCTAACTCCCTGGGGGTTCACGCTAAATTGCAGTCAGCCGAGCGGGCACCATAATTAATTACCCCTTTACAGCTTTTAGTAGGAGGGGACAGACGCTTAAGCCGGCCAAGCTGACAGTAATCTAGTGAGACTCCCCACAGGGATAGATCGATCTAAAAATCTATGGAAATGGGGTGTTAGTCTTAGATCCCACACAGTTTTATATATGTTCAAATTGACAAGGGTTGATATGAACTCGTTGGGGTTGAGGTGGGAAGGCGCTGAGAAAAATCTGTATATAGATAAAATTTCTTGCAAATTATCATTTTTAAAAGGGTCACTTAAATCCCACAGTCTTATATATGTTCAGAGTGAAAAGGGTTAATATGAACTAGTGGGTGTGGACAAGAATTTCTGGAAGTCATTCCAATTCCTATGTATAAAGATTAAATTTAATGTTTGTATTCTCATGCCTCACAGTGCATTGTCTTTTGCGATACTCTGTGTGTTTGTATATATTCTGCTTACTGTATATGTCTGTTTTGTCACTGAAAGTCAAAATACATTTTGATCTTTGTATTACATCTGTGTTATATATACTGTATGTGCCTGTGTATGTTATATATTGATGGTTTCTTCTCTAATTTCAGCAGAGATGAAGGTATGTCTCTTGGATTATCATCCAACATACTGAGGACAGCTAATTTAAAAACTCATCATCACCAGCAAGATTTACAATGTCACAGCTTCAGCACAGGTCAGTGCATCAATAATATTGCTATACTTTATTGTTCTTTTCAATACCCTTTTGACCCTCACAACTAGAAAAAATATCTTGCATACATTCTGAAGCCTGTGTACTGCATGTTGTGATGCTGTATGTGTCTCTATATTGAACTTTAAATTCAATGTTTGTATTCTCATGCCTCACAGTGCATTGTCTTTTGTGACACTGTGTGTGTCTATATATATTCTGATCACTATCTATGTTTGTTTTGTAAAAGGGTCACTTAGAGATTTATATATGTTTAGAGTTTAAAAGGTTAATGTGAACTCGTGGATGTAATCAAAATTTTCTGACGGTCATTCCAAACCCTGTATATAAACATTAAATTTTATGTTTATATTCTGATGCCTTAGAGTGCATTGAATTTTGTGAGGCTGTATGTGTCTGTATAAATTCTGATCACTATCTATGTTTGTGTTGTGGCTGTATGTGTTTATATATATTTTGATCACTGTGATGCGTCTATTTTGTAACTGCTGTATATGTCTGCATATATTCTTTTCAGCGGAGATGAAGGTGTGTCTTCTGAATTATCATCACACTTAGGACAGCTAAACTCGTCATCACATCAAGATCTCCAGCATCGCAGCCTCACCACAGGTCAGTGCAAAAATGATATTGCTATACTTTGTTGTTCTCTTCAATCCCCTTTTGATCCTTACCCGACGCACAGCTGATGAGCCACCGTTATACCGACGTCAGGCCAACGGCGTGAAGCAGTCGTTGGCCCGACGTCGGGTCACCAGTAGTGGCCCAACGTCAGCCCAACAACGACTGCCGACTGTGACCATGCCGACCAATGCCGACGTCGGCGCGACCACTTATTGCTATCTGGGAATATTGCTTTACCTGTGTTCGGTGTTCATCATCACTATATATAGTCAGGGGCGGATTTAGGCCGTCTTCTGGGTCTTCCGGAAGATGGTCAGATTTTCAAGTTTACATTGAAGGGTATCTAATTTTTCTGTCGGAAGATGGTCAAAAATGGGGGATGGTGCAACAAAGATAATTTGGAAGACTGTCAGAAAATATCTCTGGATCCGCCACTGATACTATCTGGGAAATTATCATTTTGTAAAAGGGTCACTTAGAGATTTATATGTGTTATGAGTTAAGAATAATATGTCCAAAACTTTCAAATGAGGTCAAACCACTAGCAAGGCAGGAGATAGGACTATCTCAGCCTAGAGAAAGGAAGAGTACCAACCGATAAGGAACTTTGTAATTATGTTGGCTTGCAGCAAGTGGCAATAATTCCCCGTTGAGCATGAACAGTGTGACAAGCGGGGATTGATTTGCATATTTGTGCACATACCATTGGCTTGACGTCACCTCATTTGCATTGCCATTGTGTTTTGCCCTATAATTTCCTCATCAGCCTGTAAGGATGCAAACGTCAGAAAATGATCAATTAGTTGTTACATGACATATAAGCATAATGAAAAAAGGCTTCAAAATCAACCATCCCCAGGGATAGCCAAACCCTCTGTTGAACTAATTATGAAATGCCCATGCATATCCTTGAGGAAACAGCTATCATTCACCAAAGTTTCCACTTCTAAAGTCTAATGTTCTAAGAGGAGATCAGGGAAATTATAAGATGAAAAAAATTTTGAACAACTACTTCCCCCCCCCTCAAGGACATCCCTATGTCCTCTTGAAATAATTCTGAAATGCCAATGCACTTCCCTGATGACAGGTCTAGCAATCACCAAAGTTTCAATTATCTAACTCAAATAGTCTAGGAGGAGATAACAGAAATAACGTGAAAAGAATTCAGAATCATCCCCTCCACCCCCCCCCCCAAGGAGAGCGCAACCCCCTGTTGCACTAAAATTCTGAAATGCCAACACACATTTTGACTACAGTTTCACCAATCACCAAAGTTTCCAGTTTTTAATAGTCTAGTAGGAGACATTTTTAATATGATTTTCATTTTTCTCAAATATATTGTTCTTTTTCCAGGTGACCCTTTCCATACAGCATGGTGGCTTCTTGGGGAACTGACTCTACCTATCTTGTAATGGATAATACCTATAGAAAAAGTAGGCAGTGAAAAACAGCAGCAAGAGCAGTGCATTATCTCATCCATGTGTAGAATACATGATATGTGGCAAGATTATAAACGTCAAATGATGTGCAAAGCCTGATTTTAGACACCCATTACAAGGAGGAATCTGCATCTGGTATTGGTAGTAAGGAGAAATCTTGAATGGGTATATATTGTTTCCAGATGACAATAATAGGTAATTTGTCTCCTCTTACACAACCAAACTCAAATCATAACATAAAATGCTTCATTTGATACTGAAAAATATTATTGTAATATTGAAAATTTTATTTTTTGTCATTCTCAATGTTCTCCTATCAATTGCCAATAAATGACGCAGTCAACTGATACACTTTTCTCAGATTATTACAGTTGTTAAGCTTATTTTTTACAAATTTTACAAACATTGGACTAGATTTGTCAACATCATATACATTTGAATATGTTAAGGTATGGAATTTGCCAGGTATTTTTAGTTTTCTTAAATATTTTCTGAAAACATCATTTTCATTAGGCACAGTCAACTGATAAGCTGATCTCAGATTATTTCAGTTGTTAAGCATCTTTTGTAGAAATTTCACGAACATTGGACTAGATTTGTCAAAATTATTAACATAAAAGCCTTTTCTTTCTATGCAATTTTTAGTTTTCTCAAATATATTGTCTGAAAAAATCAATTTCATTACACACAGTCAACTGATAAGCTTATGGCTGATTATTTCAGTTGTTAATTATAAGCTTCATTGTGCAAATTTCACAAAGAATTAAGGAAATTTCACAAAGTTATTAACATTTAACTATTTTTATATACAGCATCAGCAGTTTTTATGTACAGACACAGATGTGTCTGTACATATAGCCGTCACCTTCGTCTGTCTTCGCCATCATCGCCTTGCACTTTCACCGATAACACGATAAGTGAAAAATCCTTTTACCGTTTGGCTTGAAACTTACAGAACTGATATGTATTCATAATACTCAGGTCAAGTTCGAAAATCAGCATGATCGGACAATTTTTGTGGAAGTTATGCTGTTTTTTCACTTTTTTCAGCAAATATGCAACACCTATAACACGATAAGTGGAAAACTGTTTTACCTTTTGGCTTAAAACTAACATAATGGATGAATATTCATAATACGTAGGTCAAGTTTGAAAATCAGCATGATCAGGCCATTTTTATGGGAGTAATGCTGTTTTTTTTTTTTTTTTTTTTTTTTTTTCAATTTTTTTCAGCATATATGCAACACATTTCAAGGAAAACCGATTGGCCAATTGTCTTGAAGTTTACAGGGGTGATCAGTCTTACTGAAATACAGATTAAGTTTGAATATAAGCTTGATCGGTTAAGTTCTGGTGAAGTAATGCCTTTTTTTTTTTTTTGTAAATAAGTGTTTTTTCCTCAGATTTAATTTTTGGGCATGTTAACATTGTCATTTTTGAACTAATTAGATATGTATGTATAGATGTGTTATTTGATATTTTCTGCAACTTAACAATATTTTTAGTTGATTATATAAAAATGATGGTGAACCTGTTATTATGTATTATGTAATAAAGTGTCAAAAATGGAAATAAACTTATATCTTTACAGTTTGTCAGATTCAATCATTCACTATGTTCAAAAACTCAGACTGGAGCAAATTGGACATTTAGAATTGTTCTATTGATATTTTTCCTATGTCAACAATTTTCTTAGTTGATCATTTAAAAATGACAGTAAATAGATTATTTTGTATAATGTAAAAAAAAAGGTGTTGAAAGTGGAAAGAAAATCATTTCAGTACAGTTATCTCTTGTTAACATTTTGGCATTTTGAAGGTGTGACTCTTAACTTCCATGGCCTTGAAGACATTTCCATGTCACATTTTCTGAATAACCATGATTTTTTTTTTTTTTGTTATTATAAATTGATGGTCATTATGCTGTTAAGCATTATTTAATATTTGAAGACAAAATTGAAGACAACCCTATTTTGGGCACTGTCTCCATAGTGACCATTAAAGGTAAACCATGTCACTTACTCCTCTCAAACTTACAGAAAAGTAGCATATGACTAAAATGTAGCTTCAGTTGGAAAGCCTGTGTCATCGGTTAATTTTCCTGGAAATTATATAGTTTTTTGTTAGAATTAAAATTTTCACATATCAGCATTTTCAATGTGTGACTTTGAACTTCCATTGGCTTGAAGACCTTTGCTAGTCACATTTTCTGAATATCCATGATACTTTTACTTTATTAATAAAAATTGATGGCCATTATGCTGTTAAACATGTTATATTGCATAAAAGTTGAAGAAAACCCTATTTTGTACACTGCTGCCAGGATGACCATTAAGGGAAAACCATATGTTACTTATGATACTCAAACTTAATTTATAACTTTCAAGTGTCCATTAAATGAGACTGGATAAATCACACGTTGAGATTTCCCAGTAAAGTCCCATAGGTTAAGCTCTCTTAACTATGTCACATAATTACGAATCGGTGATAATTATGCAGGTAAATGTTGTTTAATATTGCAAATAGGTTTACAAAAGAAAAAATGCTGTGTAACACCAACATTAATGCTATAAATGAATAACAGTGCCTTATTATCCTCAAAAACTTTGGGGTTATTCATATCATGTTAATACAGCAAGATTAAAAGTTTGAATAGCAGCTTTATTGGAATATTTTTTGTTATGTTTTCTTTTTAATTTTTTTTCAAACACTAGCATTTTCAACTCCCAGCCACCTGAAGCTCTTCACATTTTCTGTATTTCCACATAAGCAGTTGCATTGGTTTTTATGTCTTTAAACATTATGTAATATTAATTTATGCACTGTCATCATTTTTCAAATATTTGGATTTTCATTATGTGAATTTGAACTTTCATGGTCCTGAAACTGTAATCTTATTGCAGGGGTGGATTGAGACTGTCTTCTGTCTTCCATATGATGGTCAGATTTTAAAGTTTACATTGACGGGAATCTATTTTTTTTTGTGTTGGAAGACCATCAAAAATGGAGGATGGATCAACAAAGATAATTTGGAATACTGGATCTGCTCCTGTAATTGACCATGTTACCTGTTGTGCATGATTAAAATTCAGTGTTGACTGACTGTGCTGTTATAAGCATTATTTATTATTGCATCAAAATTGACAAAATGTCCTATTTTTATTTTCTGTTTTTGTCTGTACATTTCACAGCTTTGCTGCCTTGTTTAAATTTAATTTTGCACTTTTCTCAAATATATTGTTTAAAAAAGTTTCATTACACTCAGTGAACAGATAAGCTTTTAGATTTGTTGAAATTACATGTATTAATATTTAAGTGTTTTAAGCCATGGAATTTACCTCCTTTTCAGTGTTATTTTCAGTTTTCTCTAATATATTTTCTGAAAAATATTTTTCATGAAACAGTTAACAATTAAACTTATGTCAGATTATTATAGTTGATAAGCTTTATTTGTAAAAATATCATAAAGATTCTTCTACATTTGTAAAAATGGCTAATGTTGAACTATTTTTATCCATGGAATTTGCTGGTGTTTTCAGTGTAATTTACAGTTTTCTCAATTATATTGTCCAAAATATCACTTTTATTACACACAGTCAACTGATAAGCTTATCTCAGATCTCTCTGTAATAGTTTACAGACTAAATTTGCCAAAATTATTAACATTTAACTATTTTTTATCCATGGAATTTGCTATTCTTTTCAAATATAATAAAAATCTTTTTCATTAGGCACAGTCAACCNTTTATTTTCTACTATGTGAAATTAATCTAAACACAGATAAACCACTACGAATAACAATGTGTATGAAAGTGATTAGAAATTTGTAGGATCCGCGGCGGACCCCCCCCCCCCCCCCCCATTTAAATTTAAGTAATCCTGGATCAGCCCCTGATTGTATATCGGGCAATGGACATTAAACAATACCAAAAAAGGGGGTGTAAAAATAACTTCTTTTCCTTTTAAATAATGACAATGCTTATAAAATCAAATCCTTTTCAACCAAAATATTATCAATTCATATTTGAACTAAAAATCAAAAGATCTGACCGAAATAGCTTGAACGTAGCGTTTCTCGGATGCGCTTGATGTTCCCCGATTCTCCTCCGATGCAGTGTGTTAGTTGTGAAAGATATGTTGATTGCGTTTTTCCTGCGGGGTCTTTTTTTTTCACTAAGAGACTTGTTCATTCGGATCGGAATACTATTTTCAAGTATTTTGCACGTTATGGAATATATTTAGGGATATTAACGATGTAAGAAACTTCAATCACCACTGGCATCTCGCCTAACATATGCAAAAATGCAGTGAAGATTCTTTGGGATGGGAAAGAGCGGAATACATGTAGTTTTTGAAGTTAACACAATCGAAGAGGAGTGCATTTTAGTTTATTGGGTAAGTATAAAGACTGTTTGCTTCCCTTCTGTTAATGCTTTAAGACTTCTGGTTTGTGATAAAAAAAAACAAATATTATCTACATTCGTGTCTTTCATTCTGTTTCTACAAAACCACACAAAACGGTGTTCAGTCATCCAAGTTTTTCTAACATTGCTTAAGTGACTCCGATATACAGTGATTGCTGTACATAAGACTGTGTGATGAGCATAATGCAGTTGCTGTTATTTTCTGTGTGTGCTATATATATATATATATATAATAAAAACTGCATGTACATGTATGGTACATGTAAATCAAAATTCATTGACATTAGCATGGAGCATCACATAAGTATTGAATTGTAACCTGTTCAGTAATAATTAAGTAAACTTCTAGTTGATGGATGACAGCTGGCAAGGTTTTTATCACTTGGAGCCTCAGCTGTCTTAATTTAGAAAACTATGTAAAAGAATGTGAACCTTACGATCCAAAAGTACCCTTTCTGAAAGTGAGAGTAGGGGAGAGAAAATGCTTGCCATATCAATATGATTAAAGATACATCAATACATTATGCAGGTAAGGGATGGGACAATAATTTTCATGAGGCATGAATGCATGACAATAAGTCAAGGTTTATTGATAATGGGCCAAGTGTCACAAGAGGTCATATTTTATGAATTTTTAATGAATTAAAATCAAAATCTTTTGCAAAAAACATTGATTGAGAAAAAAATTTGGTGAATGATTTGTCAACATGGTAATATATTCTTATGCTTATGAACAAAATTTGGAGCCTCAATAGTCTTATTTTAAAGAACCATGCCAACTAATAAAATGTGAACCTAACATTCAAAATATGGGTTCTTTGAAAGTGGGGATAGGAGAGAGAAAAGTGTCACTTAGATCCCACCCAGTTTTATATATATATGTTTAAAGTGATAAGGATTAATGTGAACTGATGGGTGGGAGTTGG